GTGGAAAAGCTGTGTGGCTTAGTGGAAAGTTCATGGCATTTGGACTCATCAGTCGGTCAATCTGAGTGACTCTGCCATCCTGGCACACTGTTGGGCAAGGGCTTCTGGACCTCCATTTGCTCAGCTGTGACCATGCTCCCCAGTCTTGTTGGAAAGGTAAAGGATAGGGGACATACCTTGTCAACTCTAAAAGAGTAAGTAAATGCGTTTGGTTACTTTCTGTTCCGTCATGGGACTGTCCTTACATGGCACACTCTGGTCACATGAGAAACATCTGCTGACTGAGAAATTCTCAGTTGAGAAGCAGAAGGAGAGGGGGTGGGCGGAGGTGTTTGTGTTCCCTTTGTGCACATGTGACAAAGTAAGGTGTAAGCCTGAGTCAGAACTGCGGGGTGGCCATCAGTTCCCTCTCCTTTTAAGAAGTAGCTTCAAGAACTTCTGCTTTCCCATGCTTTTGCTTGGACACCTGTGCATAGGGTCAACGGCCCACTTTGGGGAGGCTGTCTCAACCTATGCGTCTAAGTTAATTGTATGTTAGTAGAGGGGGAAGCTATGATTAAGTCATACAAATGTCACTGGGATTGCTTCCAAATGGTGATGAAGGGCATTCCGCGAAATGTGCTGAAATTCAAAGGCTAGAGAAGGCACAGTGAGACAGGCGGTCCTTTGGTTATTGTGAAGCATATTGTTTACGTACTAGGAAAATATTACCCTGATATTAAGGGATTTCTCACACATAGAATTGAAGCATTGAAACCTTCCCCAGAGCTCTTTAAAGATGGCTTGCAACCTCATCTCTCCTGTCATGTTTATTTCAGTTACAATAGAAAATAACCTAAATGGCCAATAAGAGGGAAATAGTTGGCACATGGCTCTACAAAGATGTAGAAATTAAAATACTATAGTTACATAGTAACATATTAAAAGCTTTATAGTAAGACACTCAGAGAAGAAAGAATGCATGGTTTTATTTACAGTATGATTACTAATTATATAAAATAATTATGAATTCAAACTGAACAAGAACCAAGAAAATAAAATCAATAGACTTGCATGGGATGGGGGAGGGAAACACTTCTGGAATTATGTACAACATATATTTGCTAAGACAGCCTGTGGAAGCGCACCTAGGATGTTTGTGGAAGACAGGAAGATAAAGATGTAGGAAGCCTGCTTCAGGCTTAAAATTTCTGAGTTGCAAAGAAGGGTGCTGTCCAGGGACCACGGCACCCTAAGGCATCACTGGTTTCCATTAAAACCTCGTTTGTGGAATTAAAATTAATTTGATGGAAATGGATTAAGCAGTCTTTTCATTAGTGTGCTCCTGGTCTAATCGAGTTTGGAGTGACTGGTGAAGTCATTCCTGTGCTGAGCCTCTTCCCTCCAGTCCTCTGTGGGCCTTTTGTTCCCAGACTGCTAGCAACATGGAGATGGGAGTCTTCCAACTCCCCCCTCGCAGTTGGCGGTTGCACTTGCTTCCCTAAGATCCTGGGAAGGAAAGTGACGATTTCACAGAAGTTATTCAAGGCAATGAGTCCAACACAAGAATCCTTCAATAGAAGTCAATAAAGGTGTCCCTGTGGTGAGCACTGGGGATAAAGGCCTCCCTGTGAGACCAAGCTGGGGGAGACGAGTTACTGAGGTCAGACTTCTTCCTTCCTAAGCTGAAGGGATTCTCAGCTTAAATTTGTTTCATAGTAACAGGTCTGGAGAAGAGGCGCATAGAGCTTGCCCATCAGACTGAGAACCACACATTTAGGTAGTAGGAAAGGGTAAAGAATGGAGATAACTGTGCATCTCAAGATGATCGTGGCCACAGGGAAGCTGTTTTCATGTGTATTTCCCCAGGTTTGGGAGGTTAGGGCTTTCTTATATCTTCCAGGACACAATTCAACCCATAACAATTGTAATCAACATAATTTTTATTATTATTATAGTATTATTATTATTAATTTTATTTTTATAGATTCTTGCAGGATTTGCAGCTAGACAGCAACCACCAGGAGACATTTGGGCTCCAAATCGGACCATTTGCTTCCATCAGTCATAATGAGTACAAAATTACTTGCATGCTTGTGGATTTTGCTTTTTAAAACTCTACCACTTGGTTGGAGAGGTGGCTCTGCGGTTAGGAGCACTTGCTGTTCTTCCAGAGGACCCGTGTTCAGTTCTAACCATCTTCTAAATATTCTTCGTATTAATTCCAGCACATACACATGCACATGTACACATATACGCACACATGCACACACACACACACACACACACACACGCACGCACACACACACTCATGGGGGCATATGACAATATAATGTCCTGAACCGTTGACTCTATGTGATATAACTAGCCAAAGACCCCAGCTATGGCATTCTGAAAGCTACAGACCTGTGGCAGTTAGGCCACCTTTCCCAAAGCTGCTCCATCCCAGTATTGGGACACTGAGGCAGGCCCATTGTCCCAGAAAGTCACAGGGTTCCAACAATGCCCAGATTTGGATCCTCAACAGCTTTTTGGTGCTTCCTTAGTCTACAGGGCAGTAAAGGATGCGTTTGGTCAACTTTGTTCTCCTACCCTTTACTAGCTACGCAGTTTCTTGCATTTTTTTCTCTTAATAAAATCTATGCATGCCTCATCCTATTAGGGGAATCTATATTTTAGAAGGGATATGTGTGTAAGTATAGGAATGTACACATAAATATTCATATATATGCATTTGTCTATAGGCATGTGTGTATAATTGAGTTGTAATTTCTTTCTTGGTAGACATGAGCTATGTCAATACTTTTGTCATTTAAAAAAAAGCCAATCCACCCCACTTTGCTATTAGCTATACCACAGCTTCTGCCACCTTTTGGGAAAAAAGATTTCTTGCTTAAGTATGGAGTTCCTGGTCGAGTTTGAATTTTTCTGTCAAATGAAGCTAGCCTTCACAGGTAGGTGTAAAGAACACTGGAGTGAGTTCCCCTGTGGGAAAGGAAGGGTTGAATAAGATCTGAAGACTCTCCACTCTTCCCTTCTTGTATCACTCTAGACTGGACCTACTGGTCTCTTCTCACCAACAACAATTTCTGACTTTATAGAAGAAATAGATTCTGGACCCCTCCCACGGGAGAGCTGTCAGGAAGCTACCAGGGTCTCATAATCAATGGGAGCTTGGCGAGTCAGCTTTAGATAGCCTACAGTGCCTGTCTATAGAAGCTCTAACCAGGATCCTTTAGACGAGAGAGAGAGAGAGAGCAGTAAGTGAACTCTGAGGTAAATGGACCCCAAGTATTCTTTGTCCTTGCCTTAACTTCCTAATAATCAAACTGCTAAGAGAGAAGCCACCAAAAGAGGCATCGTGAGACTGAGGAAGCCCTTGCTGTCATGAGAGCAGAAGCTGCCAGAACTTCACTCCTACTAACATGGAACTCCAGAGACAGAAATAAAGTGCCCCAAACACTCTAGAGAGAATTGGGAAGAAGTAAATAGAGTGTTGGGTCACAAAATCTAATAAAAATAATAATAAATATCTCGTACACACCCTTTTGTGTGGGTCCTTCAACCCTGAGTTTATAGGTAGTCAGAGAAAGAAGCCACAGCAATTGGATGATAAAGTAGTGAATTCCTAAGTGAAAAGAAGGGAGTCTGGTCGTGGACTGGAGCCTGATTGAACTAACAGCTCCAGAATTTCATTTCTATCCAAGAGCTTGGGATTCTCACCAACACCAACAACAATTTCTGACTTTATAGAAGAAATAGATTCTGGACCCCTCCCACGGGAGAGCTGTCAGGAAGCTACCAGGGTCTCATAATCAATGGGAGCTTGACGAGTCAGCTTTAGATAGCCTACAGTGCCTGTCTATAGAAGCTCTAACCAGGATCCTTTAGACGAGAGAGAGAGAGAGAGCAGTAAGTGAACTCTGAGGTAACTGAACTGAACTCTGAGAACAAGGAAAACTATGCAGTGCTTCAGCCTCTTTCCCAGGGGCTCTCCCTTGCCTTCTGGAGCCTTGCAGTGGGCTTGCCGGCTCCTTGGCAGGTGGCTTTGCCTCTACTGGGATTTTGGTTAGCTGATTCTCAAGTGTGATGATAGAGCACTCACAGCAAAGGCAAAGACTCCATGAAAACTTTCAGCAACACAAGCTATGCAGATTTCACCCTGGACTGTCCCTCAATCCCCATCAGCTTCCTTCTCCTAACAGAAAGTTCTATCGTCTTCCTGTATTTCACTTAATGATCCCTGGTGCCTTGTCTTCCTCAAGAATACTTTCTGCATCCAATTCTCATTGTAAGGGAATTTCCTTTGAGCCATTATTAACCCCTGATAGAAGCAGGCACCTGCAGGGGAAAATGTATGTATTATCGTACTTTCAAAGTGTCTTTTCCCTTACTTGCAGATAAAACTTTATGTCACAAGCTGAGCATGCCCAGAGGCATCCTGTCTTCACATTTGATCTTTTAAACATGTGTTTTAGGGCTATACACTAAGCATGTGTGTCTACTATCCTTCCTTCCTAAATTATGAACTTAAACTGAGCATGCTCAGGAATGACATCTTAACTGAGAATGTACTCAAGAATTGGCCCATCCCTGTGTGAAAATGCATAGGCCACTTAAATAAAATTTCAGTTTCCTTTGGTCCTGGTGGGGTGGCGGGAGGTATTTCTTTGAAAACAACTCCCATGCTCTCTTTGCCTATGGCAGGTAACCAATCTCTCTCCACTCTTTATGTTGGTGCTATCTAATTTGGCTTTACACTCACCAACCTGTGAACTGACTCCATTCACGGATGCCATCACCAATGTATGGTTGTTCTATATAGCCACGGGTAAATGCTCTTAGACAATAAACATGTATAGAATGAGATCCTACATAGTCCAATCTTACTTTTGCTGAAGAAAGCATGTGCTTGAACACAAATATTGTTTACAAATAAAATCTGAATTTGTGGCAACAAGTTCCAGGAGAAAGGGTATTAAGGTTAGTACTTGGGTAATCTATTGATATTGTCATTCCAGGTGAAGATGGCCCTGCAACAAGAAGGATTTGACCGTAAAAAGAGAGGGTACAGAGACATCAATGAAATTGACATCAACATGAACGATCCTCTTTTTACAAAGCAATGGTACCTGGTAAGTTTCTCTACTGCTTACAATGGTCTTTGCTTTGAAGGATGAAATTGTTTGTTATTTGGCAGAATAATACACAGCATCCAAGTCAATGAATGCCTCTATGCCTTCTAAGATGTTTGATTTTTCTGTCTATTATGCATCTTAACCCCTAAGCTTCTACCAATAGCTGATCGTGATCACATTGGCCTGGGTTCTGAACAGCTATACCTGGATGAGAGGGAAGACATGCGATCTACCTGAAAGTCATTATCGAATATTTAAGAGCAGTCATCCAGAGTGTCAACAGGCACACAGAAAGGCTGGAGGGACATATGGGAGTCATAGTCACAAGAGTAAGAATCCAGGGTTTTCATGAGTAAGAGAGCTGAGAGAGAATCAAAGGTGGCATTTCAACACAGCCCAAAACAGTAGCAGTGAATCAGGATTTACATCACTGGAACCTAGGCTGTCTTATGGCAAGAACTTTCTGTTTTATCTACAACCCATCATGACCTCTGTGGGTTGGCTTGGCTATGTTTAGAAGATTAATAGGGACACGAGGAATGGCTCAGGGATGAAGAGCATGTGCTGTTCTTCCAGATGACTCAAATTCAGTTCCCAACACCTTTGTCAAGCAGCCCACAACTATCTGGAACTTCAGCTTCAGTGAATCCCACACCACTGGCCTCTTAGGCACCTGCAGTCACCTTCATAAACCCACATATATACACATAATTAAAAATAATAAAAATTAATCTTTGTTAAGGAGATCAATGACTCTGAACCAACCTAAGTTGCAGAGCACATTATAAATGACTGATTCATAAATGTGAGTGATGTCTCACTTTATGTAGGACTAAAAGATGATGAACAAGATAGAAAATTAAATGACAAAGACTATTACACACTAGAGATGCATCCCAGTTTCCCTCTGAGGCTTCAGTGTTTGGCTAGGCCTTATGGTTTTGGACATAGAATTCTGAAAGTTTGGGTAACTAAATGAGCTTATGTGTATTAATCAGGATATGGTAGGTTTGTTGCAATCACAAATAATCCCAAGTCATGGTAGCTTCTTAAACTCAACACCTGTTTTTTTGTGAACTTTACCTAAATGCTTCCACAGCACCTCAGCAACTGTACGTGGCTCTTGAAACTTCAGCCTAGGTGTGACAAAAAGCACATGTGCTCACATTGTGCTGGCCAGAACCAGTTACATAACCATTCTAAAAGAGAAAGGAGAAAAAGAAAGGAAAGAGAAGGTATAATCTTTAATGTGTGCTTGGAAGGAAAAGAATAGTAACTTCTGTAAAGCATATTAATGATACTAATGCCATTCCAACAATGTCTTAGTAATATCAGAACAGCCTCTGGTCATGGTGAGCCTCTGTGAGCACACTCTCCAACTTCACTATTTGAAGAAATAGTTGAAGATAAGTCATCATTGAGTCAATCTGTAAAGATCATATATTCATAGAAAGAGGCTAGTGAATGTATTAGTGTGAATCATTCCTTCATCTTCCTTCTTTTTAAAAATGAAGGAAGGGTTGGCACAATAGCTCAGTCAATAAAGCACTTGTCATGTAAACATGAGGATCAGAGTTCATTCCAAGAAACCACATGAAAACCACTTGAAACGGTGCTTAGAAATGGTGGCATATATATGTAATTCCAGAACTGAGGCATCAGAGATAGGGACCCTTTGGGCTCATTGACTAGCCATTCCAGCCCACTTAACAAGCCCTCAACTATCTCCTAAAACAAAATGGTCATTAAGAAATAATACCCAAAGATGATCATTAATCTGCACACACATGCACATAACACACAATTTGCTGTGCACACCCATGCATCTGCACAAACACACTCATGAATACACACAAAAAACGAGGAAGACTTTATTTTTTTTTTTGTAGTAAAACATACACTAAAGAATAGCCACTTATCCTGACTTTAATTTAACAAGATTTGGTATAGTGGTACTAAAAATTCCCAAGGTAAAATGTTTTCTGTGAAAAGAAATGTTTTTGTCATTTAGTGAAGGAACTTTATTCAGTAAAAACCCAAGATATTATATGCTAAGCTCAAAACATGAGCTAAACCGAGCTTTGACAGTGAATGTTTCATTCCCTATTTGGAGGGTTTGCTGTGACGGCCTCTCCAAGATCGTTACATAAAGTGATTTTAATTTTCTGTGTGGTGCCAGGAATTTGGGCTTTGTCCTAGGGCTTTGTGTACATTAGACAAAGACTTCATCACCAAGCTACATGTCTATTCTTATACAAGTTTAAAGACAGAAATCTAGTTTTGAGATAAGGGCATTGGAACAGTTTCAATCTTTACATAAAACAGAAAAAAATCAGTCATAAAACAGAAAAAAATCAGTTGTTTATGTGAAGCAAATAGAAGACAAAGCCTCTAAGGGGTGAAGTGGGTCATCTTAAAGCATGTTTCATGAAGGGTGGAACCTTATGCCGGCCAGGCAGACCACGTCTGGCAACCAAGTGCCAGCATATGTCACAGCACCAAACCAATGCAATTCTCTGCTTTGCATTTCCCTATCAGTTCAACACTGGGCAAGCTGATGGCACTCCTGGGCTAGACTTAAACGTGGCCGAAGCCTGGGAGCTGGGATACACCGGGAAAGGAGTGACCATTGGAATTATGGATGATGGTGAGTATCTCACAGCCCTTAAGTCATTTGCAAGAGAGTGCCTTCCGTGCCTACAGACATGAAAGACTTGTGTTTGATAGAGGCTAGTGAGGAAATTAACAGCTTTGATGCTGGACAACCAAACCACACTTTGACAAAACCTACCCCTTCATCCAGATCCATAATCATGATACTTGGTGATACACTCAACAAGTACTGCTTGACCTGATAAATAAGAAACCAAAGAAACCAGTCTGTCCTTGACTTGCTTTCTTACTGACTCTATCCTTACAGCGTACCTGAAAAGTCTTCTAAACTCATATAGGTTTGTTTTCTGTTCCCCTAGATCCACACTGTACTGTGCTATGACCTCTGAATATGCATAGCCACTCTGAGTTAATAACTAAAACTAACAGCAATTTAATATTCAGTTCTTCAAAACAGCTCCATTTCACCTTTTAGTGTTTCGTTTTCCATACCATAGGGAATTAAACCCAGGACTTCTCTATCACCCAGCGACATACTCAGCTTCCTTGTTTTAGGGATCCATGTGGGCTATTTCAATGGCTGAACTAAAAAATCCGCTTCGATAATCACAGAATGTTCTATCTGAGAGTGTGGCTTTGGGTTCCTGACAAGATTGAAGTTTAGAAAATTTGGCTTTAATGCTATTTTCAAAACGAGCCCCTGTCAGGCAGTCTTTGATAATGGTTATATCATTGACAGCTCCATATGTTACCCTGCTATGCAGGCTAGAGATTTCAGAGTCTTGTGAATTAGTGTTTTTCTAACTGTGCACAGCCTTGCCTCTGGAGAGGTCCGGCGGCACCGCTGCCCTGCCGTCATTTTGCTGGAATGTTCCGCCCCCCTCGGACAGCTCCCTGGGTCTTCCACTAAAAGTACCACTGTGGCTTACATTATCTGCTTAATTACTTACAAAGCCTATGTAGCACTGAAACAATAGAGCCTCTCCTTTCCCAACATCCTACATCCTCAAAGAACACTGTTGATGAAAAGCAAGCCTTTGAAGCAGAATTGATGGGGAAAACAAGGGAGACCAGGCTGTTTAAATCTGCTCTGTCTTTGTGGGAATCATTAAAGGACAATGTGAAACAATGCTCCCTAGGCCTCTGATGTGTGAGATGTTTTGAAGTGGATGTAAAAGCCTTCTCTGGTGCTGAGAGCTTTCCCTAGAAGAAAGGAACTGTGTGGAGAGATAGCAGAGCTTATGAACATATTTTTTTTCCTTCTGAACTCTTTGGCTTAGCCTCCTTTCCAAAGCAGCTGGGGCCAGGTCACCCAGAAAAAGAGGCATCTAAATTTGGAAGAAATCACCTGGTGTAATCTGAGACTACTTTTTTGGTTCCCAGCCACCCAGACTGAATAATCACACAGAAACTATATTAATTACAACACTGTTTGGCCTATTAGCTCAGGATTCTTATTAACTAACTCTTACATCTTAAATTAACCCATTTCTATAGTTTTATATTTTACTACAAGGCTCGTGGTCTGTTATCTCTTGCTTCTTGAGCGGCTACATGGCATCTACCTGACTCTGCCTTCTTTCTCCCTGCATTCAGTTCAGTTTTCCTGCCTCCATAAGCCAAAGCAGCTTCTTTCTTAACCAACAGTAATAAAACATATTCACAGCATACAGAGGGGAATCCGACATCAACCTAGGATATATTGTGAGAGCCAATGTAACAGCCCATTGGGTGTCCTATCCTGTAAACAGAGGCCACCTTGAATGTAGCACAACAGCGACCACAGACACACTGCCATGATCAACTTTCCAACAGCACTATAGATGCCAGCTTCAGTGTCTGTCCATAGCCTCCTTAAATGACACCCAAGCCATCCCTTCCAAAGATGGCAAATGAGAAGGTGCCTCACTCTGCCCCAGACTGAAAGGCAAAAACCCTTTAGAAAGTCCCAGAAGGATTTCCTGTTTGATCTTAATTCTGTAGATTAGTAGTCTTTGTAATTCCCTGTAATTTGAACTCACTATCTCTCAATTAAAATTCTTGATTTTTCTATTGTTTTAATCACGTCTGCTACAGAACAAAACACCTAGATAACTTTTTAAGCTACTGCGTCTTATAGTTCTGTGAGAGGGTAGGCTCTGCTGGGTTGTTTTGTTGCTTTCTCTAAATAAATAAAAGAATGTTTGTTCCATCAGGGAAGGTGGCTCAGTCAGTAAAGCATGAGGACCTGAGCCCCAATCCCTTGCATCTGTAAAAATGCTGAGGGAGGCAGTGCCTCTGTTCCCCCAGCCCTAGGGATCAAGGTCAGGCAACAGAGACTGGCAGACCCCTGGAACTCACTGCTAAGTCAACCTGAGTCAGCTTGAGAGTTCAGTGAGAGATGCTGCCTCAAAGAATAAGGCAGCGAAACTGAGGAAGACATCTGACATCTACCTCTGGCTTCTACATGCATAAGAACAAATGCACACACACATGAAGCATGCACACACACAAAGAACATGTTTTCAGTGTATTCTACCTTAAGAGATAATCAAATACACAAGAACATTAAAATACAATCTATCGAATTATTATTTTAATTTAAATCATTCTTTTATTAAGAGAAAAATGTCTTTCATCCTTCACAGTTCTATCAATGGTATTTTCTTTCTCAGTTCCAAGTCTGCAACCATTTTAACAAAGCTCTTTCTCTTAACCTAAGGACTCTTTATTATAATTATAATATATACATTGTATTGAAATCTAACTCCTTCCTGGTCTCATGTTATCTCGTTGCTCTTATTTTTCCCTTCATGGAGAAGAGATTGCTAATTCTTCTCTTAAACAAAGTTCACTCTCAGAACAAGGAATTGTGTTTTTAAATTGACTTCCAATCTTAAAGGCATGCTCTTTGTGTGTGGTTGTGGAGGGCCGTGTTTAGCTTCTCATTTGTTACCAAACTTTTTGCCTAACAATGTTAAATAATTTCAACAAGTATATACAATTTCATCTCACCGCAGATTTTAATATCAAGGCAATTTCTAGAGATGACTTTGTTCAACTGCTAAAACTGTCCCAGTGATGTGATAGATTGTGTTAGTTGCTTCTCTGTTGTTACCTCAAATATCCTGACAAAATCCAAGATAGAGAAGGAAGTGTTTACTGTGACTTACAGTCCCAGGGGAGACAGTAGATCATGGCAAGGAAGACATGGCAGCAGGAGGGAGAGGCCCACCCTGCAGTCAGGAAGGTGGCTGGTCACATTTCATCCCATACAGGAAGCAAAGAGAGACTAGAGGATGGGACTACAGTATGAACATCAAAGTCTACCTTCAGTTATAAACTTCCTCCAGTGAGGTCCCACCCCGTAAAGTTCCACAACATTCTCAAACAGCACCACCAGCTGGGGATCAAGAGTTCACATGTGTAAACCAATGGGGACAATTATATCTTCAAACCACAAACTCCTACCCCTGGGCCTCATAGTCTAGAAATTATCTCATAATACAAAATACATTTAGTCAAATTTCAAAAGGTAAATCCCCTGTCAAAACCAAAACATAAATTATATACTTCCAATATATAGAATATATATTCCCACTCCAAAGAGGAGGAATGGGAACACAGTGAGGAAATACTGAACAAAAACTAGACTGAAACCAGCAAGATAAACACCAAAACCCTAGCTTCACGTCGGCATCTGGGGCTTCAGTTTCAAGGCACTGAGGTGGCTCAGTTCTTCCAACTTTGTAGCCTGTCACATATCTCTCTTCTAGGCTAGCTCTACTCCCTGAATGCAGCCCTACTTAGCAGACATCCCACAGTTCTGGCATCTCCAAAACCTTGGAATCTCTACCACAGAATAGTTTCTCAGGGCCTCCTCACAGGCTCCTCCAAGCTTGACACGCATTGCCTAGTCACAGTAGCTCTCTGGAACCACAAAGGAAAATAATGACCCCACTCTTCAGTCCTCTGTCTTTCATGCTTCCAGAACTAGAGCCACCCAAAGAACACTACCAAGTTGTGCTACTATCTTGGGATGGAAACTAGCTCCCTTGATCTGGGGTTGGAGCACTTGGATACCAGCATTGATACTGGTAAAAGTTTCCCTGGGCATTTGTTTTAACAGGACCAGGAAAGCCCTGGGTGTCCCTCCTTTCAGGTGGGTCTTGCCCTTAGGGCATCTTCCCTGTCATTTCAGTGCCGAGCAGGAGGCTTTGACAATGGCACGAAACCCTTTAATGGCACAGTCTTCTTCAGTGTATGCCTGGGCTGTAACCTTCAGCTTCCTGGTGCTCCCTCTCTCCCCACTGTGTACATTTAAACAGTAAGAAACTTTCCACCTACTCCATATTACTCTGTTTTGAAGTTTCCTCCACCGGAGCAATTAGTCCTTTACTTGTTGATTCGGCTTCATGCAAATTCTCAGGACACAGGCAGATTCCTTGAGGAAATGTCATATGAATAGCCTCTAACCCAGCTGCTAATAAAATCCATATTTCCCTTAAACTTCGTGAGCTGGGTCTCTCCTCTTCGTTGTACTCTCTGCACCTCTGATTGGCCCATTAAGCTCTGTCCACAGCACTTAACTAGTCTAGCATGAAGTTCCAAAGTCTTCCACACTCCTTCAAAAAAACAACATAATAATCAGGTCTATCACTGCAACAGCCCCACTTCTCTGAAACCAATTTTTGTATTGGTTATTTTCTATTGCTGTAATAAAATGCTCTCACAAAAAGCAAGTTTGGAAGGTGGAGATTGTTTTGGCTTACAGTTCCAGAGGAAACCATGGCAAAGGCGTGGCAAGAGGAGCATGAAGCCAACCCGGCAGTCAGGAAACAGACTGATCAGTTCTCACCTCACAAAGGAAGCAGAGAGAAAGAACAGGAAGTGGGTCATGATAGCAAAACCTCGAAGCCCACTTCCAGTGACATACTTCCTGCAGGGGTACTCTACCTCCTAAAGGTCTCATAGCCTTCCCAAGCAGTGTCACCAGCTGGGAACCAAGAATTCAAACATGAGCCTGGAGGGGCCATTTCATATCCAAACCACAACAACGATATTTCTAATGATGATAATAAGAATCCATTAGCATGTTTACTATAAGCCAAATACTTCTTCGAATTGTTTCTAATCTTTAAAAGATCTCTTAGAATACAATTATAGCCCTTTTCAAAGATGATGAAGTCAAACCTCAGAGATCTTGTTATTTGACAGAATCCACATCAGGATGACAGCGTCTGAGCCTTTGAATAGAACTGCTGGTCTCAACACACGCATTTCCCCCAACTCTAAAGGTCACTTCTATTCTGACCTGAAAAAAAAAAAATGAAGATTTCCTCTTGGAATATAGGCACCATTTTTTTTTGCGGGGGAGGGGTTATTTTGTTTTGTTTCTCACCACAAAGCCTTAGGGTGGCTGGCACAGCTCCAATAACAGTGGCACAGCCTTTGTATGAATGGGGTAAAGATGCCAGCAGAAGAGGCTTAATGGTGCTTCTAGCTTACAAGTCTAGTGTCTCAGGATAGCTATTAAATGCACCTGCTGCTAGGCTAAAGCTGCCATTGGCATGAGTTTGAGCCCCACCCTAGCCTTTCCTCCAGTTGTTCAGGAAGGAAACAGTCACAGAGAGACCCAACAACCTCCCTGCAGTCGTTCTCCTGGTTACATGACGGTTAGCAGGCAAACTCTGCTCTTTGACTCCAAAAACCTCCGTGTATAACCATGACTGTGTGCGGTTGCAGGGCCCTGCTCTGTTGCTGTTTCCCCACCGCCCATATGTGCAAGTACAGCCTATGCTGAGACTCTGTAGCCCTGCAGACCTGGGTGAGAGCTTTCCAGTTACCCCTGGATCAAAGCGTCTGATGAAACTCAACAGCACAAATAGGCCATAATTCTACCCTAGGAATGATTCCTGGGCCCAGAGTAGGCTCCGGCTCAAGAGCAAGCACAGAACTCCAGCTGAGGGAATTGAAGCCTCTGGTTTTTCAGAAAGGCACGTTCTGGAGAGAGTAGTGTCAGCTCCCAGCTGACAACACCTCCCTAGAAACCGCTAGCTCTCTCCTAATGGCTTTTCTCGCCCGGCCGTGTGTCTCTTATTTCCGTGCTGGAGTGAGCCCCGCTAATCCACGGTTCTCCGTGCCCTGTTAAATAATCATCACTTTTCCTCCCCGGGGCCAGCTTCATTTCAGAGGAGAAACTAGTTGATGCTTTAGAAATGTCAGGATTTCTACAAATCTCTTTTACATCGCCGCCGTGATGAGCCATCCATCTTGCAGTCACTAAGCCCCTGACTGCTGACATTTATCCGGAAGCGTTATCCATGGGCCCAGAGCTCTAATTGGTTTCACTGCTCTGCGGTGTGTCTTGGGGCAGCTGTCTCTCCATCAAGGAAGTGATGCAGCCCTCCCCCACACAGAAACAGAAGGCAAAGCAAAGGGTTCAGGATAAGCATCCTCTTCCCACCCCCAACTCCCACAAGTCTCTTGAGTCATCATCCCTACAAGGAGCATCCATTTCTGGGCAGCTTTCTTGAGAACACAGCGGCCAGTTTTAACCTTCCATTCCTGTGTTATCTTTTCGCAGGAATCGATTATCTCCACCCAGACCTGGCCTACAACTATGTAAGTACAAGCTGATTTTAAGGTGTGGGGAACGTGTGCTTTTAAGCAATCTGCTACATGTGGTTATCAGAAACACACTCAAGTATATGCACTATGCATGCATTCAGAGGATCAATACACAGGAGCCCATACATGCCCAAGGCAGAAACAGTCTCACACACACACACACACACACACACACGTAACTCAGATATTCATGTGAACACAGAATCACCACCCACATACTCAAATGTGCACACTCGTGTGTTTGTATACACCAAATCAACCCATCTTGTTAGAGCCGTTGCTCAGATATGGGAGCTGGCCGGATATCAAACGAGTGTCTTTTCAAGAAGAAAGGCTAGCATGCTGGCATTTGGAGGAGCAGACTGCCAAGAAAGTAAATACAGGGAGAGGTAGAGAGGAGAGTGGCATGGCAAGGCTTGAATCAATGCCAGTTCCAAAGCTCAAGGGAAAGGGTAATCAAACTATCTTGGTGCTCATTGGCCAAAACTGAAGCCCTGGAGTCAAAACCTACAGTAACTCACATTGCAACCATCTCTGTGAGAGGAAGAAGGAACAGCATCGTTTTGACCATTTTCACCCTTCTACACATTTCACTGAGCCTCGCCTTTAAGACCCCTCTGCAAGCAAGGACCATCGGCAGAGACTCACAGCACAATGCTGGGCTAGAGTCATAAGCTTTTCCCGATAAACCGACAAGCTCTTTAAACATAACCGATGTCTCCGTTCCAAGCCCAGGAAGTACAATATGCAGTCATTCGATGTGTTCACTTAAAGCTGCCCCAGCTGGGTGACACTTTCCCCACAAACTCAAGGTCAAAGTTTAAAAGACATAAACTTACTGACTGGAGACGTTCATTGAAAACGAGGGCTTAAGTAAAAGGGACAGTTAATAAGCAAGGCTGTTCCCAAGTCAGCATTGTGGGTCTGTGCCCTAGAAGGGCCTTTCTATACTGTATGGAAGTCAAGGGAGCTCCCCGTGTTTTGTGCACTGTGTATCAGGAAATGGGACAATAAAGTTTTTGTTATTTTCTGCACAGGTCTTAGCAATCTAGAAACATAAAGATAGAGCTAAATCTTCTCTAATACAAATACATACACATATTTATAATATGTACAACTATATATGTGTATGAACCATGGATCATCCAGTCACTGTGGCCTCCAAAGAAAATGACAGGAAGTTAATCCAGAACTTTCTTGCAGGTGATAATAACCCATGGGAAAGATAGTCATGGGCTACCCATGCATGGCAGTCCACACCAGTGAGCCTGTGGGTCATGTCTAGGGAGCCCTTCTCTAGCCCTGTCCCTGTGGCCACCTGCCCTGCTTCCAGCTCATGTGTCTAGCTGTTCATTTACTCTTAAAGTGGTCTGCATTCCTGGTGACTCCTCTGTACATCCTTCTCTGTGTTCCCCATAAATACAGAGCCCTGAGATGTTACTATCCTGCACCCTAGAACTGCCTACCCTCACAGAGGCAATAGTATTTCCCATAATTCTCTTCAGCTCCAGGGCCCAGGACATCATCAGTAGCCACTTGGGGCTCTGCTCAATTTCCTACATAATCGCTGCCTTGTCTCTTGGAGGACCTCAAGGTGGCGTGGCTGTCTATTGACTGAAAAGCTAAGGGTGCCTCGCCCCCTGCTATGCACAGGTTCTAGTTCCACAGAAGCCTATAGCACCATGAACAGCTTCCATGCCTTTTCACTTGGCCACCCCCAGGCTGATGACACATTAAAAGGCCATTCTAATTCCGTGGAGAAACCATGATTCTAATCCCGTGGAGAAACCATGAAAAGCTGTAGAGACAATACTAGTGGGCATGGTTGTCCGTCTGCCTGAACCCCTCTGAATCTGGGGAGTGCTGGCTTAGACCAGCAATATCAGAAGCATGGGGAACCCCACGGCTTGTGAGCACTAATCTCTCTCCCCCTTGGTTTCGTTGCCATGGATGTGGATAAATGCACGACCTCTGTAGGAAACTGGAAAAGAAGAAACAGATCCAAAACCCAGCCATAACTCTATCAGCCTTAATATCTGGGGCTTTCAATTCTGTGTGTATTTTTTTTCGTAAAATCGAATTCTGACTGCATACTGTATTCCCACATCTTCATATGCTATGAACATTTTATATTTTAAGTATTTTCATTATTTTGAAGGCTATGTGGCATTGCCTCACACTGTAATTTAAACACCACGATCCCCTATTGTTGGACAACTGGCTGTGTTTCCCATGGTTACATTAATCTAAAAGAGATCATGATAGGCAGTGGGATGCTTGCTTCATAGAGGGGCTGCATGGACCCACTATTCAGCTTCTTCCAAGAGTTGAAAGAATGCTGGGAAAAAAGAAAATGTAAGAGGCCTATCGACTATGTTTCAAATTATTTCAATGTGCACTGTGGAATGAGACATTCTACATCTCCCATTGATGTGGGAGTAATTTCTTTCTAATCTGTTGTTTTCATTGATTGGTTAATTAATAAAGAAACTGTCTTGGCCCATTTGATAGGCCAATCCTTAGGTGGGTGGAGTAAACAGAACAGAATGCTGGGAGAAAGAAGCCGAGTCAGGCAGTTGCCATGATTCCCCTCTCAGACACAGACACGGGTTAAGATTTCCCTGGTAAGCCACCTCATGGGCTACACAGATTTTTAGAAATGGGTTAGATCAATATGTAAGAGCTAGCCAATAAGAGGCTAGAGCTAATGGGCCAAACAGTGTTTAAAAGAATACAGTTTCCGGGTAATTATTTGGGGGCGGCCGGAGATGCAGCCCGCCGCTCATATCACTACATCCCATAATGTCTCTCGAGCTAATTGACACCAACGGGTGGCAGCCTCAAAAGGTATATTTTCAGTTCATTTCAAGGGTGAACTGTCCTTGGATTAAAGCTAGTAAGTACATAGGAGTGATGCGTTCTCCATATCTGAACATATGGATCATATAGCCATTGGGAGAGGATGCTGAAGAGATGATGTGTGTATTAACCTTAATCTAGATGCTCTCTAATAATGAGTAAAAATGTGACTGATAATAACCTAACCTCCTCTTGGCGATGAATCTTCCTGCCTCTGGGATGGTGTGAAAGCTAAGCATCTAACTAGCAGGAACTCCTCTCTATCTCTGTCTGTCTCTCTGTCTCTCTCTGTCTGTCTCTCTCTGTGTGTGTGTGTGTGTGTGTGTGTGTGTGTGTGTGTCTGTATGTGTGTGTGTGTGTGTGTGTGTGTGTGTGTAATCCTGGCTGTCCTGTAAGTGCCGCCGCCGCCACATGGCTAAGACCAGTTCTCTTAAATCTCAGTGTCTCTCTCAATCTATGTAGAGTTGAACCAGAACCTAGCGATAAAATTTGTCATATTTTGACTAAAATTTTTACATGGTCGTTAAGTGTAAGTGGAGTCAACCTACTGAGGAGAGCAATGAAGCCAGCGGACAATGAACAATAGGCTCAAAAACCATGTGAGGAAAGAATGTACCGGCCCACATCTCCACGTTACTAAGTGATTTGATGGCTTAGATGTGCTGAGCTCACCCAAACCCTTCTAGGAAAAGGTACTTTGGGAAGGTTATTTGTTTGGGTCTTCCCAGAAACAGACCCCTAAAACAAGAGTTGCAGGGGGGAAAAAAGATGAAGAGGAGAAAGCAGCTATGTTGGGCACAATATCAAACAGTGACCATTGTGAGCAGCTGGAACTTAACTCCACTAGGATAGGACTGTCCGGGAGATAATGAATAAATGAGACAGAGTGCCAGAGGCTTCTCGCATTGGGTGCCTGGGGCCTCGGGGGATTGAACCCAGCTCCAACAGTCACTGGATTAGAGCTGGTCCCAGCGGATACTTAGGCTGCCTCCCCAGGCTGGAGGACAGCCCTCGTCTGTGTCTAGACAGTCTCTCACCAGGGACATGTGGGTGTCGGGCCATAGAGACAAGTGACAGGACCTGCTGCCAGTGCGTACCTTGGAAATGGCTTCAAGGGTCAACAGAAATGTTCTGTATTGTGGGAACAGACTCCCCCTCTTTATTAATTTGCTTTCAATAAGAGGTGCGAATTCTACCCAAAGCCATTCAGCAAAATTTCTTCATACTCAAACCAGGCAAAATGTTTCCCAAAGCAAAGTTCTTCTCCTGGCTTGGTTATTCTGAGTAGTAAGAAGAGAGAGAGTATGTGTGTGTGTGTGTTGGTAGTTCAAGGTTCTTTCCACTAAACTAAGAATTAAAATACTTTGAAAACTGCAAATCAATATATAAATGTAAGTCTTTAGTGTTAATTTAATTCAACAAATCTACACTGGGTCTATTGGGTGGAGAGCAAAGGATAATAACAGCCACTTCTGTGATTATTCTATTGTTCAAAGGTTGAATTGAATCTCAGGGTCTGTTCCCATTTGTAAGTACTCACTATTCCAAATAATTAAAATTCTTTTTTTCCATCCCAATTGCAATAACCATGAAATGAGTACTGGCCAAGAGACTACTCTGAACTGAATCAATGCTTCATTTCCCTGCCTTCCCTATCCCACAGTCTGAACAGTTCCTCCAGCCCAGAATGGGGGAAGAGATGCCAGGAAGGTGCAGGCACCCACTGAGGAGGGGTGCAGGCACCACTGAGGAGGGGTGCAGGCCACACTGAGGAGAGGTTCAGGCACCCGCTGAGGAGGAGTGCAGACACCACTGAGGATAGGTGCAGACTCCCACTGAGGAAGGAAGGGTGCAGGTGGGGTGTATCTCACAGCCCAACTTAGGAGGAAGAAAATGGGGAAGTAACTCTGTTGGGTGGCTCTCAGCCCATGATGTTTCCAGACTTGTATGAAGCTGGGCTAAGTCTGTGGCTCATGGAGAACTTCTTTAGGAGTGTGTGGCGTGTGGAAGAGGTGGCAGTTTTCAGAGCCTGGGAACAGGTTGGGCAGAATCTCATCTTTGCTTCCTAGCCCTGCTTTGTTGAAGTCATGAGTCACGCAAGGCTGGGGGGGGCGGTTGTCTGTAAAATTCAAAGA